TCATCTACCTGTGCCGCAGTCCGGCTGCAGCAAAATAACCGGGGGGTGACAAACAACTTCTGTACGTTGATACAGCAGGAGTGAGAGCCGTTTATTGCAGGACAGGAGCAGTATTTATACATTCCACACAGCTTATCTAATTAGCATAAACTAGATACATCAGTCAGCCAATAAGGAGTCTCCACACTTAATGGCTCGCTGGTGCTACTTCACAAACCACTCCCTCTGGCATTTTGCCAGGCGCCATCCAGACTTGTTTACAGACTAACACACCTGCAGCTCGGGGAACTGGAAAGCTGTTTGAAGTAAGGGGCTGATCTCCTGGCTGGCGTTTTATAGATCAGCAATTTGAATGTGAAAACAAACCCCCAGAGTACTAGGAGGAAAATGGAAGAGTGCACTTCAGGGTGGGGAAGGCATTCTCAGTCCAAAGCCACAGGGGCTGGGAGTCCCACGCAGCGGGAGCAGCCTCAGCAGAGCCCAGGACACTGAGGCCCAGGGTCCAGAGCCCGCGTCCTGCTGGATGGAGCCTCGTACCACTGGGTGAGCTCCGCAAGCCAAAGCAGCACCAGGTAGAGACCTAGACACACGCTCACAACCAACCCTGGAACATGTGGACACGGCCCCGCTGCTCACGCCAAGGGAAATGTCGGTTAAAACTACGTGGCCGATGCACAGGAGAGGTGATGGTTTGGAAAGCCAGCGGTCAGCATTACTGCGGGAGAGCAGGCAGACACCAGGTCTGCCCCAGTCACCTCGCAGTCAAAATGACACTCTCCTACCCCTTGACTTTGGAGCCCCACATCCAATGCATGCATGCCTGCACACCAGGACATACACAGGACCCTGCAGGACAGAAAGAGGCTGGACACAGCCCCAGGCTGTCCTGTGGAGGGCAGTGCACCTGTCCTCACTACTGTATCCTTGGGGAAGCCCTTCTGGAAAGCAGAGTAAGAGCTCCTACAATCCAGAACCATTAGAATAACCACCCAAATCAATGCTGGAAATTTTTTAAAAGACTTGTAATAATCCAAAGAAGGCTTGTTCAAGAAAGAACGCTCAGCACTGCGAGGTACGAGGCACACCACACAGCTGGCTGCCACGGGTCTTGGTAGAGGAGCTTTGTGCGACCCTGACCAGCTTGCAGCAGCCTTCAGGGGAGCGGCCTCCCGCAGTGCAGACCCGCAGCAGCCCTGGGAGGGGGTCGGGTCTGGAGCTCCTCAAAGCCCCCCTGGGGAGTGCACACTGGCCGGCCTGCTGCTGCCTGGACAAGCCCACTCAGGGGCTGCCTGACCGCTGACTCCACCAGCTGAGACAGGGCACTGGAAGCAGCAGCTGTGCTGTCCAGAGCCTAAAGGCAGAGCTGAGGAGGGGGTGTCCACAGTGGCGCTGGATGGCTGACTCTGCTGAGGTGTGGGTGTCACTGTGCACACACATGTGGCTTTGCACTCGTCCTGCTGTCACTGTGGTGCTGCAGGTAGGAGGCTGAGGGAGGGTGCGGAGGCCTCGGGGCGGACCCCACAGCATCCACACTTCACGGAGCGAGTGGGGAGGATGCTGAAGTCAGCCAAACAGGCAGCAGGAGGCTGGAGCCGGCTGCCCCCCATTCACACACCAGGGTATTTCAACATTTCAACAACACAGAGCCACCCAGAAACAGGGGACAGCAGTCCTCCCGGGGAAGTCCTGGCGCCCAGTGCTGTCAGCAGCTTGGGAAGGGCTGCACTTTGGGGTGCCAGGCCCAAGACTGGGCACTGGAGGGACAGAGAACCTCGAGGAGGGGAGCTCGCAGAGGCTGAGCGAGGCTCTGGGCAGACGGGCCGCGAGCAGCCCACCTGCAGCCTGTCGCCTGCAGGAGCCACAGAGAGAGGATGGCAAGCGCCAGAGAGGAGAGGCACAGGGGACGCCTGCAGACAGACACCAGGGCCCACCTGCACACCTGGTGGGCAAGAGCGGCCCGCACATGCAAGAAGCATGTGGATTCCCTGGACCTGTGGCCACTGTCCCGAGCCGGGAGCCAAGAGAGTCTCAAGCACAAGAAGAGCAGCTGTGCACCCAAGGAAGCTCTAGGGGCCACCTCTCAAGGTGACCCCAGGGAGGAGCGCCCTGGGGCTGGGGAAACGACTGTCGACAGGGCCCTACGCTCACAGAATGAGTTCCCAGAAGTGACGGGGAGACAGACATGGAGCAGACTCGCAGCTGGCACACCTGCCCTCCAGGAGAAGACCCCGCACGGCAGAGGGGGCACGGCAGAGGGGGCACGGCAGAGGGGCACGGCAGGGGGGGCACGGCAGAGGGGGCACGGCAGAGGGGCACGGCAGGGGGGCACGGCAGGGGGGGCACGGGAGGGGGGGCACGGCAGAGGGGGCACGGCAGGAGGGCACGGCAGGGGGGCACGGCAGAGGCACCTGCAGGGCGCCAGGCCCAGCCGAGGGCCTGCAGTCCACAGGATGCAGCGAGTGCCAGAGCCCGGGCATGGCTGGACCCCGCTTCTGGCCGTGCTGGGCCCGGGGGCTGGCCCCTGTGGGATGGAGGTGTGAGCTGCAGCACTCGGCAGCCTGGGGAGAGGACCGTGGGAGGAGGAGAGGCTGGCAGGAAAGAGAGGTCCGAGGGGCTGAGCATGACTGACACAGCAACTTGGGAGCAGAGACGGCGACCCCACCTGTGGGCTCTGTGAAGGCAGAAGCACTGGTTACCCGGTTACCTGGCTACCCAGTTACCTGCTTACCAGGTTACCCTCTCACCCTCTCAAGCAGAAAAAACAAGAGGACCCAGGTTCCAGGTTTATTTATTTATTTTATTCTTTTTAAATATTTATTTATTTTTTTAGTTTTTCGGCGGACACAACATCTTTGTTTGTATGTGGTGCTGAGGATCGAACCCCGGGCCGCACGCGTGCCAGGCGAGCGCGCTACCGCTTGAGCCACATCCCCAGCCCAAGGTTTATTTATTTTTGAGTACTAGGAAATGAATTCAGGGTGCTTTAAAGTCTTTTCATCTTTTTTAAAATTAGATTTTAGAAAGGGCTAGGGCACAGCACAGTGGGAGAGCGCTTGCCTCGCTGTGTGAGGCCGGGTTCCGCCACCAGGACTGCGGAAAGGAACAGGAGTGCAGGAACACAGCACCCGGGAGCGCTCACAGGAGAGCCCAGGTAGACACTGAAACTGAGGGCTGCAGCCAGGAAGCGACTCTTCTGTCTCAGGAAACACACACAGTGAACTAGAGCCAAAGCACCCAGAGGAGATGGTGCCAGTCGAAGTAGAGATCAGTGGAATAAAGCACGGAACGTCAAGGATGAACAGAACCAGTGGTCATGTCTTTGAATGAACAACAAAGTCACGAACCTTTAGCCAGACTGACCAAGGGAGAAGGAGGAAGGAAGCACTGGGCACAGGGAGACATGAGCAGCAGCAGTCCCGCCCAGCACAGGTCACCAGGGGGCAGGACGGCTCCTGGGCAGAGTGAGCTGCTCCACGCACTCAGGTCACCACCAGCTAAGGAGTCTCACAAAGCCCAGGGCCACGGCGTTGCTGGTGAACCCCAACCAGGGCTGGAGTGATGATGACCGGTCCTTGCAACTTCCCACCGCGTTCTGGGAGGCCAGCAAGACCCTGACACCAAGGACGTCACAAGAAACATGACAAACCAACGTCCCCTAAGAATCCAGATGCACCACACCAGCTGACAGACCCAGCAGCACAAGGAGAGGACCCACCCCAGGGCAGGAGTGCAAGAGTGTCACCCACGAGGCACCCGGGAGGCCCCAGCCTGATCAGGAGAAGGGGGAAGACCATCTCACCATCTTGAGAATGGAGAAAAAGCGTTTGGCAGTGAAACAAAAAGCATTTGATAAAATACGATCCTTCATGACAAAGGGACAATCAGGAGTAAGGGGACTTCGCTCTGGAAATGTGATGCTACAGAACACAGCTGGCGTCACACTCAGCAGGGAAAGGCTGAGCCGCCCCTGAGATCAGGAGCAAGACAGGGGCCTCTGCTCTGCCAGGTCTGGTCCTCACCAGGCAGGAGGTGCCAGCCCAGCAATTAGGCAAGACACAGGCACAGGAAGCACCCAGCCTGCAAAGGGAGAAGGAAAAGATCCCCGTTTGCAGATGACACAACTGTGCACAAAAAAGTGTTTGGAAAACACACACACACACACACACACTTAGTTAGAACCAACAGATTAGCTTAGCAAGGTGGCAGGATACAGATCAACATGCAAAAATCGGTTGTATTTTTATACATTGGCAACAAACAAATAATTGAAAAATGGAACTCAGAGAGCAAACAAATTTATAATAGCATCAAAAAGAACACTTAGGAATGATTTATTATTATTATTTTTTTTGGCACTGTGGATTGAACCCAGGGTGCTTAATCTCTGAGCTGCATCCCCACCCCTTTTCATTTTTTACTTACTTATTTATTTTTTGGTGTAGAAGGACACAACACAATGCCTTCATTTCTACGGGTGCTGAGGATGGAACCCGGGTCCCGCCCGTGCTAGGTGAGCATCCTACCGCTGAGCCATCACCCCAGCCCCTTCACTTTTTACTTTGAGACAGGGTCCCACTGAGTTACAGGGTCTTGCTGTTCCAGGGCAGGGCTCCTGAGAGCAGGAGGAGGGCAGGCCCCAGTCCCACGATCGGTAGAAAGGTCCAGACCCTGCTGCTCAGAGTCAACAGGAGTGAGCCTACTGAAGGGACAGGAAAAGGGACAGGGCACTCTCAAGGCTCCAGTTTTACTTGGGATCCAGAGAAGTTTCTAGAGATTCCCACCCAAGTCTACCTTGACTGACAGATAACATCATCTTTCAAGACCCACTGCTATAACTCTAGGTCACCTTGGCCCATGCTCACTATTTCTAATTGAATTTTTAACCATAAATCCTTAATTTTATTTTTAATACATCAGGGATTGAACCCAGGGGCACTGAACCACTGAGCCACACCCCCAGCCCTTTTTATGTTTAGAGGCAGGGTCTCACTATATTGCTTGGGGCTTCACTAAGTTGCCGAGGCTGGCTTTGAACTTACGATCCTCCTGCCTCAGCCTCCCGAACTGCTGGGATGCCCAGCGTGGCCACCGCGCCCTCATCATCAACATTATTATCATTTTTTCTGTAGTTGTAGATGAATAGAATGCCTTTATTTTATTCAGGTGTTCTATGTTGTACTAAGGGTCATGCGCTCTGCCACTAAGCTTCAGCCCCAGCCCCATCATCAACATTATTTTGAGCCTGCATTTCTCCTGCAGGTAACAAGTAGTTTCCTGAGAAATGTGCCACATCCTGTCCACTTCGGCCAGGCAAGGTTGCAGGTAAATTGCTTCTTAGAAAAGAAAGCATGTGGGGGTCGGCACAGTGGGCCCATGTTATAGAGTCATCCCCTTAACCTCCTGTTCCCACCACTCACATCTGTCTGCTCCCCAACATCACTAAACTGCTGAGGCTGGCCTTGAAATCCTCCTGCCTCAGCCTCCCCAGTTACTGGGGTTACAGGTATGCACCACTGCAGCCAGCTTCAATTTTGTATGAACACTCATAAAAACTCACTAAAACTGTAAAACACCACTAAAGACAATCAGATGGAAAGGTATCAAAAATTCATGACTCAGAAGACAAGATGGGACTATTTCCCAAAATGATCTATAGACTGAATACAATCTCTATCAAAATCGTAGGGTTTTTTTCCCCAAAAACTCACAAACTAATCCTAAAATTCATTCTATGCAAAGGACCCAAAAATAGCCAAAAACACTGAACAGAACAAAGCTGAAGGACTCATGTTCACCAAATACGGAATCAACCGCAGCCGCAGCACCGCAGCGGCAAAGTGCTGATGGGCCGGAGAGAGGACTGCAGACTGGGGGCCACGCAGGCCCAGGCAAGAGGAGGAGGCGGGCCACCTCACATCTTACACAACTCAGCCTAAAATGGACCCAAGACCGGACTAAAAACTAGAAATAGGAAAGTCTTAGGAAAAAAACTGAAGAGCGGATCTTTGTGACCTGAAATGAGCAATGGCATCACAGACGTGACGCCAAGAGCACAGGCAACAAAAGAAAAAGACACACACACGTTGGACTGCAACAAAATGATGACTCTTAAAAGGTGCTATCGAGAAGGCAGGGGGCAAGAGGTATCAGCAAGTATCAAGGGCCTGGTATTCAGACTCTCTGCAAAACTCTCACAACACAGGACACATACCCCATTAAAGACGGGAAAGATCTGGGTAGACGTTTCTCCAAAGAAGACCTACAGATGGCCAATAAGAACAGAAGATGCTCAACGTTGGTTATTACAGAGATGCAAATCTGAACACGAGCAAACCCTTCACGTCCACAAAGACTCGAGAAACTAAAAAGTCAGGTGACCCTGAGCTTGGTAAGGAAGCAGGCCAGTGGGACTTGGGCTGCTGGCGGGTGCAGGACGGAGACCCTCCCCATGGAAGGGGGCCTGGCAGTTCACTGAAAGGTGGGGCATGGAGTCACTATGCCCCCTGGTGTATCCCTTGGGTGGACAACCTCTGTCCACCTTTGTCCACACACGCTCACAGCAGTGCTATTCCCAACAGCCAAAACGTGGGAATACCCCAAAGGTCAAAAGAGGAACACCCGAGGAGCCTCTCGGCTCCAGGTGATGCAAAGGAAGGAGGACTGAGGTGCCACGGGTCTGACAACATCCGCCAAGGGGCAGTAGCGCGACGAGGACACCTGTGAACAACTCCATATCTGAAATGTCCAGAAAAGGCAGAGGCAGACCCGGGCAGGAAGGGGCCAGCGGCTCCTGTAGGGCAGCAGAGTGCTCTGGAGTGCAGCCGCGTGAGCCCGCACTGCCCCTGAAGCCACACTCCGCAGGGGGCAGGGGCCTCCTCAGCACCCTGCGGGGGAACTAGGGCCACCGAGGCCTGGACTTGGCCTCCACCAGGGTTGAGTTCCCATTGCGGGCACAGTGACAGAGCGTGGGCCTCCCAGAGCTGCTCTGCTCAGAGGCAGCCTCCGGGGGGTGCAGCGTGGGTGGAGGGCAGGAGGTGCCGACCGTGGGCCCGTCCATGGGCTCTGACCACACCGCCCAGTGCACAGGCTCAAGAGAACCACAGGATGCCCCACAGGGGACACGTAGCAACCAGGTGGTGGTGGCCCCCAGGCAGGTGAAGGCCCCCACTGCAGGGCATCTTGGCACACCATTTCCTGATGTTGACCACACACAAGAAAGGCTCCTTCCCAGATGGACACCCACACTCCCTCCCCCATGCTGGCAGAGGAAGAAGAGCTGACGATCAGGGGCCACGGCACAGCCTCTAATTCAGCGCATAGTTAAACTGGTTTGCAAACTTCTCGTGCTTCTTCCGGTCCACCTGGTTCATGGCAGTGACCACTCTTCGCACAGCTGCCCTGCGGGGAGAGCAAGGCAACACGTGGTCAGGGAGGCTCCAGCCGGGGCTCTCGGGGATTGGGCACTGCTTGTGGATGGCTGTGCATTTGTCCAGGCAGGGGCCCTGCCCTGGGGAAGAAGGCCTCGCCTGGGGACCAAGAGGCAGCACCGGGATCCGGATCTTGCCAGGCCTAGCTGCGCCCAGGAGTGAGGGCACAGCCCACCCTACCTCATGGAGAGCAGCCCTGGGGGCGTGTGCAGCTGGGGAATGCGTGATAGACACACAGAGGAAGGCAAGACACAGGCTGCCCCCAGACCAGCTCAGGGGCCGTGGTGCTGAAGCCATAAAGCGGGGACACATCCGGGGCCTAGAGCCTGAACGCTGCCAGGCACTGCTACTGGCTCTCCCTTAGGCAGGGCTGTGGAGGTCATTTGAGGTTCCTTCTGTGGCAGACTCGAGGCCACACAGCTGTGCGAGTAGTGGGCTCTGAGGCCCTGCATCCACCACAGGTCTCACTGTACCCAGGAGGAAGTAGGAAGGAGGCCGGAACAGATCCCTAGGCCTCCACTGCTCCCAGGCAGAGGCACCCAAGAGCCCTTCACATCTGACTGAACCACTGGACACCAGCCTTATACCCTGAGCCTCCCAAAGCAGTCCCACCCAGGTGCCACTGGCAGCCCCTCAGGCCCACGCACCCCGCTGGCCCCCACTGCAAGGGAGCCCTGTTTCTGCTGACCCCACTGGCCAGTTGCTGTCAACACCAACAGCCTTCCCTGCCTGGTGAGCCGAGCACTCCAGGTGCTCCCAGGCAAGAGGCTTACGGGGGCAGTGGGCATGGCCAGGCAGGCCCCCCAGGGCCTGGCATCAACCTCAGGGGGAGGCAATGGCTTCCTGGGCCTTATAGCAACACTCCAGGTCCTCTTTGAGCAGAGTAGGCTGATGCAAAGAGAAAAGAAGCAGGTCCAAGTGGCCGCCCTCTGCTGAGCAGCGCACCTGGGCCTGGAATCAGGCGGCAGGGGCGGATCCATCTGCCAGCCTCTGCAGTGGCTGTCCTCCCTGGGGCCCTGCAGAGAGTGCAGGCACTGATTGGGGCACAGCAAGGCCAGGGCCTGGCCCTCTGGGGTCAGCCAGGTAGGGCATGAAGGGTCCACTCTGAAGCAGCTGGCCCTTGCCCAAAGCCACCGGGACGCAAGGATGGCAGCCTCCCTGGGAGAATGCTCAGGGCGCCCAGCTGCAGCTGGGCCCCTAACAACCCCTGGGATGGCTCTGCCCCTGGCTGGAGCTGGAGGCTGCCAGGGAGAAGGTCCAGGTGGCCCCAGAGGCCCTCCTCCAACGCCCAGACCAGGGGTCCCGGAGGCGTGGCGAGCAGCTCTTACTTGGCGAAGACCTTCTTCCTGAGGCGGGCCCGGCTGGTGTTGGCTCGCTCTCGCAGGTCCGTGAGGTTGGGGTGCTTCTTCCGCTTCCCTTTGCCCTTCTGGCTGTACCTCGACGAGCCCAGGTCTGCCCCTGTGGCTGCCTCCACGTCCCTCATGAACTCCGGGTCCTGCCAGTCTAGATAAGACCCAAGGGTTTCAGAAGCCCTCCTGGGGTGGAGGGGCTCGGGGAGAAGCCTCCGGCTGGGGCCAAGCAGGAGCCCAGGGCCCTGTCCTGATGGGGTGGGGCCAGACTCCAGCTCAGGCTTCCCACAGTGGAGCCAGGTGAGGACCGGGGTGAGGACCGGGTAGAGCTTACTCCCTCTGCATCCGGCATGGCCCCACAGACTGCAGAGGACTCCACAACCCTCAGAGGTGCCTGGGCCCCCAAGGACCCCTGTGGCCCAGACAGGCAGGGGGGGAGCTAGGTCAGGCCTCCGAGGCCCGTCATGGTACAGCCATGAGCTTCGAGGCAGGCTGTCAAACGAGGCTGGAAGTGAGGGTTTCAGTGCCTCTGGAAGGTAATTACTGGACTGCAAACTGGACAGTGACCACTGAGCCACTGTGGTGCTGTTAACAGGCTGGACAGGATCAAGGTGAGGGAAGGCCCAGGACGACAGGCAGTGGACAGCTTGTGTTTCACTCGTCCACAGACAGCCTGGCTGTGGGTCTCAGAAACAGGTAGGAATTCAGCCCAACAGGGTGCCCTTCCTGAGAGGACTGGGTACCGTGTGCCACAGTTGTAAGGGAAACCAGTGCCACCCAGCCCTGCTGGGCAGCCTCCCCAGGGTCAGGCCATACCCAGTGCATGAGCAGAGCCCCGCTCAGAGGGCTGCTGGAAGTGAGCCGTGTACAGGCCCACTCTGGCCTGGGGGCCAGGCGGGGATCCTGGCAGCTCCCCACCAGTTCCTGCTGGCCTGCCTCTGCAGGCTGTGGAGATGGACGACCAGACCCTGGGCCGCCTGGTGTGGAAATGCCATCCCAGACCAGGGCAGTGGCGGCAAGGCCATCCCAGCATGCCTATCCCTACAGGTGGACCTGGCCTACAGCAGGGTGCTCACCCCGGCCCCACATGCCCACAGGGCTAGGGAGCAGTGCCCGGACACAGGGAGCCAGCAAGGCCAGGCTGTGGTGGGCACGGCCATGGAGGGAGAGGCTGTGCCCAGACAGATGGTGTGGCCTCCCCAGGAGGATTTTTTTGAAGTGAAGGAACTCGGGGCTGCACAATTCAGATCCAGGGACGATTAATCCAAGATTAAGGAAAACTGTCTAAACAGTTTATCTCCCAGTAATAAGAAGGCGTCACAGTTTAGGAACCCGGTGAATGGAGCAATTGTTTAAACACAAGGAAAAAATGCCAGCATCCAGTGGAGACGGAATGAGCACCTCAGGAAAATGAAGGAGCAATTTAAAAGCCTTTGAAGAAAATCAATAGACGCCTCGGCCGCGCGGCCTTCCTGGGCGCTGACGGGCCCTGCAGCGCCACGCGCATTGTCACTGAGGTTAGCACCAGGGAAAAGAAAATTGCCCCGTGTGTGCGGGAGGCGGGATCGATACTGCAGTTAGTAAAGAGACGCTATTTCACATCTGACTGGCCAGCACCGGGGCAGCCGCGGCCTGATACCTGTTTGTTAACAAGCCACCGAGGGCTGGAAATCAGACTCTTCAGGCTCGACACAGAAATAGGCACTTAATTTGCTCCTGAGTGTGACCACCAGGGAAGGCCTTGCCCTGAAGATGAACAGGTCAGGGCCCTCCCACTGCCCAGGGCTTAGGCACCGGCTGGTGTCAGGATGAAACCCAGCATTTGTGTCTTAGGACCCAAGGGCAAGAAGCTGCTGAGTGGGCCTGCAGACGTGTTCCCCTCTGAGGGAGGGCCTGGGGCTACAGCCCAGGCTTGAATGTCCATGGAGACAGCCAGCAGGTCAGAGCTGCCAGGGTGGGGGACCCCAGCCCGTGGAAAGGCAGGGCAGCCTGCCGAGGCTCCAGGAAGCACAGCCGTCTGTGGATGCTCACCGCTGCCCTGCTGCTCAGGGGCCCTGGGTCCCTGGGCACCCAGCAACTCCTGCGGCCAGGCTGCAGCAAGTGCCCTGAGGGCAGGAGGGACAGGTATCTCTGGATGGGACAAGGCAACGGCCCCATCAGGAAGGAGGACGGAAAGCAGGAGAAACGAGCTGGCCTCCTACACTCGGCCTGCTCCCTCTCCCGCCTCCACCCTCCACTGAGGAGAGATGCAGGATGCAGGACCTGACCCTGCAACTGCCAGCTTGGTGGCTTATGGAGGGTGTGTCCATATCCCGACAGTGGCCTTGCAGGTGCTGGTCCCCAACCTGCCTGTTACTACAGCGGAGGCTGTGGCTTGAGAACTGTGAAGAGTCGCCCAGGTTGACCCTGTGGTGCCCCAGGCTGTGCCCTGGCACCCCGCCCCCACACCTACCTGGGCGTGACTGCTTGTGTGGTGGCTGCTGCTGCTCCCGGGCCCTGTCCTCTGGGTCCAGGGGCCGCCCCTCATCATCTCTGGGGATGATCCTCCCATGGAAAGGACACTGCAAAGCAAGCACAAAAAGACTGATGGCCAGGAGGTGGGGCTGTAGCTCCCTGGGCACAAGTGCCTCTGGGGGGGGGGGGGGGACACACTGCCCTGCAGTCACGTGACCTTCAGATGTGAGTCCTGGGAGGTGCACAGCAGGGGCCCTGGTCCTCCCAGACCTGGGGCTGTAGCTGCAGGAGCCTGGGGCCTCCAGCCAGTTGTTAGTGGTGACCTATTTCTCCCTGCTCCCCGCAGCCTGGGGTGAAAGTGGGCAGCTGTGGGCCAGGGTGTACCTCTCCCTTCCCAGGGCTCTGAGTCCACACAGACGCACTGCTGCACAAGCTGAGGGGCCTGGAAGTTGGCTCTGGGCCCCAGGGCAGAAGACCCCACAAACAATTCTTGCTGGTCAGTGGCTAAGCCATTTCTGCCAACGCAGGGCAGCCCCTTCTGCAGGCTCCCAGTGCCCACAGTCCTGTCCTGGCCCAGCCTCACACCCACAGAACACTCAGGCCACAGCCTCACCTTCAGCCGGTCCTGGCGCGCACAGAGCCGGCCATCGGGTCTCAGGGCCCGGCACCGGTGCTGCACAGGCTCAAACTTCCCTGCAAAGGTGATGCGGCGGCTCTGGAACACGGCAGGCACATCTGCACTGTCCACCTCCTCGTCTACCTCCCGGGGCTTCCAGAAACGGTGCTGAGATTCAGATCTGCCGGTGTACCAAGTCTCCTGACGCTCATCTGCAGAGGACCTTGGAGGACGGTCACACCTGCCCTCCTGCTCTGTGCTCTGCCCTCAGGGCCCCAGGACAACAGAGGCAGGACTGTCCCGCCCTGCCCACCAGCCTGCAGGCAGGAGCACGGGCATTGAGCAGGGGTCCCCACTGGGGAGACTAGCCCTAGAAGGCCTGCCCTGGCCAATACCATCTGGGGGTCTGCAGCGTGGTCCAAGGCAAGGGCCCCGCCCCCACGGAATGCAGGTGAGTGAGACGCTGGCCTCCCCAGTGGGGCTTGGGGCCAGCTAGGACCCACTGGGTCCTCCCAACAAGATGCTCAGGCCTGACTGTCCTGGAGCCTAACTGCAAGGGGCCCTGGGGGACCCGGGTCAGGCAGGCGGGAGGAGGGCAGTGCTGCCTCCAGGTGTGGGGCTTCTGAGGGAGGAGCAGCAGCTAAGCCTTTCAGTCCCCAGCCAGGCTAGTGGCCACTGGCTGGGCTCTGAGGCTACACTGACCTTTAGCTACCTGGTGACAATATGTGGAGGGACAGCTCCCAGAGTGCCTCCTACAGACCTCTCTGCCCTGCTGCTCCTCCCGCCTGGCCTGCCCGCCCCCACCCTGCAGCGGAGCAGGGCCGGCAGGATGGAGGCAGCATCCACATGCCTCTGGAGCACAGGTCTAAGCCATGGGCTCAGCATTCCCCAAACACCCTCAGGCTGCTGCAGAAGCTGAGGGGCCTGGTAGTTGGCTCTGGGCCCCAGGGCAGAAGACCCCACAAACAATTCTCTGCTGGTCAGTGGCTAAGCTATTTCTGCCAACCCAGGGCAGCCCCTTCTGCAGGCCCCCACTGCAAGGCCATCCATCCTCACAGGAACAGGCCACGTGGCCACAGTATGAGCCCTGGGGTCACAGCGGCATCACCAGCCCCCTGCCTCCCGAGAGCTGGCCTCCACTGCCCTCAAGCCAACCTAGCCAAGCCCGGTAAGACTCCACCTGTTTTCCCAGTGAGCCTCCCTGCCCTGTCAGCCCTGGCCCGCCTGCCAGCCCAGGTCCCACTGGGGTAGGCAGGGAGCCTCTGGCTGGCCGGGCAGTGATGGGACCTGCTCAGTAGCACCCCATGAGAACCAGGACTGCGCTGGATCAAGAGGTGAAGCTGGGCTCTCTAAAGGCCTGCATCCCAGAGCCCCTGCGAGTGCTCTCTGGCTAGTCCCTCTCTATAACGAGGCCCAGCCTCCCTGGGCGGCTCCCAACAGAGCAGCAGCCAGGCTCAGGGAGGACCATGTGTTCTGGAGCCACAGGCACCCTGGACTCACCTGAGGATCTTCCCGGTCACCGGCTGCTCCTGGCCCCAGTAGCACAGGTCCACTCCAAAGGGTACCACGGGCGCCTGGGCCCGCTCTTCCGCCAGTTTCTGGGCCTCCTCTGGTCCCAGTGGAGCCCTGAGAGCAGAGCAGAATGTGCTGTCACTCCTGGAGAGGGCACAGCCCAGTGCAGCCCAGACCCAAGGTAAGACCAGGGAGCCAGGGCCTCAGCCACATCAGTCCTGTGAGCAGCCTTGTCCTAGCCGAGCAGTGCTCTGGTCTCTGGCCCTCCTCTGGCTGGGAAACCTGACATCTGTCTCTCAAGACCTGAGCAGTGGTCCAGCTTCAGGGCCTCTGGGGATGAGCTGTGTCTAGAGAACGTCTATGGGTCCTGCCCCACCGTGCCAGCTCTCTGAGCAGCCCTGCCCCACACAGAGGTCAGCAGGTGCCCGCTACCCAGGGCTGCACAACCCAGGTGCCCTCAAGGGAGCCAAAGAAGGCCTTGCACCCCACTGGTGCTCTGGGTAGTCAGTGACGGTGCCAGGCAGTGGCCCAACAAAGTGGGACATCTGGGATCACCTGACAGAGGAGGGTAGGACAGGAGGCAGGCAGTCGTGGGGCCGCCACAGCTGGGCAGCAGCAGAGGTGGGGTCCGACGCCTCCTCATCCCTTCTCGTCCTCTTCGTCGCCTGTGAGCCCTGTGCAGCTGCGTCTTTCTCCAGAGCCTGCAGAGGGGCTTTGGGCTCCAGCCCTGAAACAGACACATGTCCACTGCTGACTTCCACTCCATGACCTGGGCAGATCCCGTGAGCACCTGCCACCTCTCGGTGCCCAAGCAACTGGGACGCACCCTGCACATGAGAGCCCATGATCCTCCAAGGCCCTGAGAAGTGGTTCCTGTCACCTCCCCCTCTTGGACAGGGCCTGGAGATACCCGCCCCGTGGCTGCCAGTCAGATGCAAGCTCCCAGTGAGTAGAATGCCAACCTGGAGCACAGCCCCTGGCACCAGGATGGCAAGGCCACGGGCACAGTGGCACACTGGCTTCTGCAGCCGTGTCCATTCTTACATCCCTGGGGCGGAACAGGACAGATCCTTCAACTCCACCAAACCCCGCCATCCCTGCTATCCCTCAAGGCCCTGCCCACCCCTCTTGCCCGTACCAAGGCAAGGACTTGGGTCTAGCCCACCCTGACCTTTGCTCGCCTCTCTCCCAGGTGGGGCACAGGGCAGGTAGGGGTTAGGACTCCAGAGGCACGGCCTGCCTCTGCCACCGCCTGCACTCAGCCACCCTCCCCTGTGCACCCGCCAACTGAGGTGCTCACAAGGAGCCGCAGCAGCCAGTGGACAGGGGAAGCCCAGCACTAGAGCGAGCCGACAGGAGTAAGGCTGCTGCAGGGCAGAAGGGTAGCAGGGACTCTGACCCCCCCGGAGGACACACACTCCTGCAGTGAGAGCCAAGGGCACCTGTGCAGGTACCAAGGTCCTCATTTCCAGAATCTGGAGGAAAGAAAAGGAAGCGCTGTGGAGAAGAGTTGGGAAATGGTGAGCCTCGTTTCCTGGAGACGGAGGGAAACTGTGGCTGGAAATTCTACAGGGAGTTTAAGGACATCAGAGAAAAAGCCATACATCTAAAGAAGGACAGTCCTACTGCAGCAGCATATCAACAGCACGGTGCGCAGGGCCGGGGAGGGCTGCTCCCACGGCTGAGGGCCTCCAGCCTGACTCTCCACCCTCTCAGCCTGCAGTGAGGACCAGGGCCTCCTCGACGGGAGCCTCAGCAGGAAGGGCCCAGGGAATGCTTTGGAGTCTGTTGCCCCTCCGTCCACACCTACCAGACAGGGAGGCCGGGGCGGGAGGGTGCTCAGCCACTAGTCCTGGGCCGGGGCACAGAACAGAAATCAAGAGGCTATAAAAACCAAGGGTGGATGGGGGGTGGCCAGCTCAGAGGCAGTGTGAGCTGAGTGTGCAAGGCGAGTTCCACCCCGGTACTGCAGGGAGCACACAGCAGGGGACAACACACACTTTTTAAAATTAGAAACAATCATCAGAAAAAAATAGATAAAAAAGGATTTAGAAGCAACAGAAAAAAACATTTTAACAAAGGTGGGAAAAGAAGTAAACCAACAGCAGCAGTGACTTTGAGGGGACGTGTGGTGCGCGGAGCAGCCCGGGCAGCACGTCCAGGTGCTGCGGCTGCCAGCCCAGGGCTGCAGCCCAGCCAACAGATCACCTCTGGGCAGAGCTGTGGCCACCCCCCGGCCCAAGTCCCGCCCGAGACCAGCGATAGGGAGCACATAAAGGCAGGATCAGAGTCTCTGTGCAGGAAGGACCAAGGGACAGCCAAGATGGCAGCTCAACCAGGGAAACTGATTTTAAGTTCAAAGGACCTCAAGAGAAGGGACATGTCCGGCGGGGGCTGGGTCAGTGGCAGCGCCTGCCTAGCGTGTGAGGCACTGGGTTCCATCCTCAGCACCACATAAAATAACAAGGACATGCGTCCACCTATGACTAAGAAATAAATATTAAACAAAAACAGAAGGGACGTGTCGACGTGTAGGAAACGTGGAAGGTGTGTGCGAATGAGTCGACACCAAGGTGGAGGCCAGCACCACTGCCCGAGGCCCCTGAGCAGAGGGCAGCCCGACAGGACACAGATGTGGCCAGCTGCTCTTCAGGACTTCACGGTGGTAAGCAGACAAGAGCCACAGCCGCCTGCAGCCTTCCTCTGTAGATAAAGCCCCCTGGCACACAGCTGTGCCCTCCCGCCCTGTGCTGTCTGGCGTGCTCGGGAGCTAGGACGGACACTCGCTCTCTGGCCCCTTGGGGAAACACATGCCAGCCCTGCTGTAGGACCCAGCACACTCCCATCTCCTAGATGCCCACAGAGAACACACGGAGGAGCTGCTCGGGGTCCCTGGAGGCTGCCGGTCACCTGTGGCCACCACGGATCTCAGCCCAAAGGCTCCAGCGCCATCCAATGCCCAGGTCCCACTCCCAGGCATCCCAAAGCCCCAAGACCCGCAGCACGGCCTCCCCAGGGACCACACTGCCCGGCTGGCCAACACCGCACGCTGCGAGGCAGCCGGACTGAGAAGAGAACAATGTGACACTTGCACAGATACAATCGCAGCCCAGAGATCAATAGGAGAATTCCTAAGAGTTACAAGAATGAAATATATTTTTCATTGATTTGTTGTTTTAGACCATTAAGAAGATGGGTAAGCGTGTAGAGCAGGGTAAACACTCGGGGCTTGGGCCCCGCCTGCACTGTCCTGGGGAATCAATCTTGCTGACACACCTCCAGAGCAGACCCAAAACACAGAGGGCTCCTCGGCCCAGCACGCGGTTCTCAGCAGATGAGGGCAGAGTCCTCGACCGACCCACCTCGCACCCCAGCTCTGCTCGGCTGACTCAGTACAGTATCTGGGCTCAAGTTTACTCCCACGGTTGCTTTTAAAAGAATCATAAAAATGTCCAAATCCCTGTTTTTGTTTAAATTGGCCAAGTGGCACCTATTTGCCTGAAGCACTAAAGCAGACAGTGCGGAGAGATCAATCGATAGCAGGAAATGGAGAGGCTGGGCTCCGCACAAAGTTGGGCTGCCCAGCGCTGACATTATTGATTCCACCTAGCTCCACTGGCCTTGTAATTAAAATGTAAATTTGAGAAAGAGATTATGTCCTGACAGAAATGGTAGGATTAAGGGAAAGATAAAAGCCCCTCAGTGAAAATTCAGAGAAAGAAACGAGAAAGAAAAAGAGCCCCGGTCTCCTCGGCTGTGTGGGTTTAGACTAAATCTAACTACTTCAGATTCACCCACGTTTAATTGAAAAAACAGCGACAGAATATAAACTAGTATCATGAACTGGGCTCGCCCAGGCACACCTCCTGCCTGCCCTGCGTCTCCAGGGCTCCCGGGCCGTTTGCCTTTCTCCCACAGGAGGCCAACGGGGTCCCCACCGCCCTGCCCTGGCTCCAGGCCTCATGGCAACCTGACCAGCCGAAGCTGAGCCCCAGGCTTGAAGGGGCCCTGCTGGCCCCCCCTGATTCCGCAACGCAGCCCAGGGCCGGGCAGACAGCGAGACCCTGAACCAGAGAGTCAGAGCACCCCGCTGCACAGCCTCCCTCTCCCATCGGCCTCCACCTGACGCTTCTGGGGAGAGCAGGAGGAGCAGCACTGCCCAGACCCCTAGGCCCCTGTCTGTTAAGGCCAAAGACAATGTTGTAAGCCTTCCCGAGGGAAGGGGTGAGTCTGCACCAAGGAAATGCCAGGGTCTCGCCAAACCCCCTCCCCACATCCAGGCCTGCGCACACAGCCTGGACGAGGGGTAGTCACAAAGCAGGCTGGCAGGACAGGAACCAGGAGCCCAGGCACAGGCAATGGGTCACCACTTCTGTGTCATGGACCTCCCCACAATTCAGGAACCAAGGCCCTGCTGAGGCTGCGTCCTCTTCTGGACCAACACACCCCAGCAGGGTGCCCTGCCCTGCTCCTCTGTGCTGGAGGTCAGGCAGGCACAAGAGCCCTGGGCCCCTGAGACACCTCCGTGCAATTGGGCCTCCTCGCAGGGGCACTGGGCAGGTGTCCCAAGGAGCCTGGCAGAGGCCCCTGGCTGTTCACAGCTCAACCCCTTCACTGGATGGACTCCACTGGCCAGCAGACAAGGGGGACACAGGCCACCTCCACACAGGAGGGCCCAAGGACTTTGCTGGTGCCCATCACTCTCCACTGGTGGTCAGCAAGGCCCTGCCCCCATGTGCCCACTGCCTGGAGGGACAGTTAAAGGCCCGTCGAGGGAGCACTCCATGACAGTCTGCCTTTGTGGTCGTGCCACTTTACTGGCCACTCGCAAGCCACAGGACAGAGGGAACCTCGTCACTCTGGGCTGGAGGACAATGGCCTCTGCTGTGTCCTACTCCGAGCCCTGTGCTACGAGCCGCTGCAGGACAAAGGTTGCGTGAGAGGCAGGTCCTGCCAGTTAGAGGCTGCAGACTAACCCTGAGGACTCAGAAGCACCAACAGGGACACAGAGGCCCAGACCCTGAAAAGTCTGGTGTGACCCAAGCCAAGAGTCACTGCCAGCTGCCAGTTTCCCTGGCAGACTCCAGGACCAGCCCTGGCTCAGGGAGGGGGACAAGGCCACGTGGCAGGCAGGAGATATCTGGGCAGGCAAGAGCCTAGGCAGGTGCTGTGGCTGCTTAGAGACCTTGGGGTCCTTGGCCCAGGACCAGAGAAAGGAAGGAGCCAACAGGCTGTCTCTGCCTCACTTGTCCCTGTGGCCCTCCGTCCCAGACCCAATAGCCTCAGAGGTAGCCACACTTGAACCAGTGCCTCTCTGCTATCTAGGGCCTGGTCCAGCAGAGGGCAAGGTAAGGTGGGCTGGGGAGGGTGGCCACAGCACCCAGCCGCAGGCTACAGGCACCTCCCAGTACCCATGTCAGTGTGGGACTCAGCTGTGGCCACCCAAGAGAGGCTCTGGCCACGTAGGAAAGGCAGTAATCAGGAGATGGCAAAGGCCACTTCAGGTGGACACTGGTATTCAAAAAGAATGGCAGGTGCCGGGGGGGGGGGGGTGGGGGCAGGTGGGAGGTCAGAGGGGTCAATGGCTAAGGAGCCTCGAGGAGGCACAGCTGGAGCCCAGGCTTGGGGTGGGGTCTGGCCCATGGAGAAAGGCGGGCCGGGGCACAGGGCAGGATAACACCAGGCAGAGGCAGGTCCTCTGCAAAGCAGGCCAGGCCAGGCCAGGCGCCCAGTGAGGTCAGGGCAGGAGCTTCCCTATCACACTCACACGACTGAACCCCAGGTGCCCAGCCCCCTGGCCCTGCCCAGCTCAGAAGCGGACGTGTGGGCACACAGCTGTGTGAGTGGAGGGCATTAGCATGTGGTTGTGCTAATTTGGCATGACACCCCTAATGGGTCATGTCTTCACACGCGAGTTGCCTAATCGTCTAAATTCTTTTAACAAATCTACGTTTCATCTCACAGACTTCAGTTCAAACCAACTTGTCAATTTCACCATAAAAGCTAGGGGTCCGGTTTTCAGTTCCTTGCTCTGGACGTGAACACATGACACCTGTGTGTGCCCTGGGGCCCTGGAACCCACCGGACTCGAGGCTGCCCCTGCCCTGGAGGTCAGGAGCCTGGGCTGCAGAGTGTGACTTTCAGGGGCTCCTAGGTGGAAAGGCCAACTGCAGCTGTGCCACTCCTCACCAGGAACGTGGCCTTGCTGTGGACATCACAGTCCTGGCCCCGACGCCTTGTCCACCTTTAGTGTCCAAGAGGTACGCAGGTTACTTTGACATCCCCAGGAATCGTCCCTAGGGGATAAAAGCCTGAGCATGTGGTATGGCTACCCCCAACCCTGAGAGGCCCAGGCCTCCCCCCGACTCCCTGCCACCACCAGACATGGCTCCTGAGCTGCTGGAACCAGTCCCCCCGACACCTTGGGTCCAGGGAGCCTGCACAAGAGGGCATCCGTCTGCTCAGGGAGCTGCCCACCTCACTCTTGGAACACTCTCCTGAGGCCGCTGCTGGGCAGGAGCACCCAGGAGCTGCAGGGCGGGGCCAGGACCTGCCTCCTCTCGAGCTAGCAGGCCCACTGTGGGGTCAGAGCCCTGGCCCAGGGCTGGGCAGAGGGGCCTGCAGCAGGACTTCCTGGCATGGGAGCCTGCCTCAGGGCAGGTTGCAGGGGAGCCGGGGAGCCCACCCTTAAATGAAGCAGTGAACGGCTCAGGGATCCGTGGCGCAGCCAGCAGGACAGGCGGGGCCCCACAGCCCCACCTCCTGTGAGGTCACTGGGCTGCAGCTCCCAGAGCAGGGGCTCCTCCCCAGGCGCCTCCCACTGCCCCCTGAGCTGCGGCCTACCATACTCAGCCCGCAGATGGGCAGGGATGTGGGGCTCATACCCCTCCTTCTCCGGCACCTCCACAAAGTCCTCGTCGTCCTCATCCTCCTCGTCCCCTGGGGCTTCAGTCTGTGGAAACACCACCAAAAACTAATAAGGACACCCAGACCTGTGAACGCGCACAGGGACTGCCACCCACTGCCCCAGCCCCCTCCACAGCAGCCGGGCGTCAGCATCGAGTGACTGCAGTCCACCCAAGGTCATCTCAGGGCTGATTCTTTTTTTTTTTTTTTCCTTTTTTTTTTTGGTGGCGGGGGACCAGGGATTGACCTCAGGGCACTCCACCACTAAGCCACACCCCAGCCCTGTTTCCCATTTTATTTAGAGACAGAGTCTCACTGAGCTGCTTAGCGTCTTAGGCTGGCTTTGAACTCATGATCACAGGCGTGTGCCACCGCACTGGCTCAGGTGATTCTTGTCCCTAAAATCTCAGCACCTCTGCACCACTGCCTCTGGCCTTGCCACTCCATGCTTTGGCACATGCTGCCCCATCCTTGCACAGAGCAGTCACACGCAGGTGGACAGCAAATGTCTCTCCCTGCAGTACAGGTAGCAGCCGTCCACCCGCTAGGCAGTCATCTGGACAACACACCATGCAGGAGCTCCCGACGAGGCTACCTCCCCTGCCTGATGTGGCAGCTGGCCTGAGTCCCAGGAGCACAGTGCCGCCACCCACAACTTGGGGAGCAGGAGGCCTGCTTTCCCCAGAGGAAGGCGGGCTCTGGGCACCTCAGCAGGTGGCACCAGAGGCCCATGGAGTCCTTGACATCCCCAAAACAGGAGTCCTGGCCTGCCCTGGGGCTGCTGCGAGGTTCTGCTGATAGCAGTGCCCCGTGCCCATCAGCTCACCAGAGCAGACAGCACAGAGGCAGACCCCCCCGGCGAGCACCTGCAGCACAGCAGAACCAGCCCCTAAGCCACAGCCTCCATCCCCAGGAGCCCTCACACCCAGGACAGGATGCCAGCACAGCAAGCAGCAACTGCAGGGACGTGCGCCTCCCGGGAGATCCCTACACACAGGGAGCCAGGCTCACCGTCCTGGGCAGCTGAGGGCTGTGCCCCCAGGGTGTGAGGACCACACCATGACCTAGGCACAGGGCTGAAGGAAGCGTCCAGAAAGGGAGGTCCCTTTGTGATGGCAGCCGGGGTCCCCAGGAACACCAGTGGTCCTCACACATGCTTGTTTTTACACCCCCTCCCAACAGGCATTCCACCCCGGCACCTGCCTGAGGGAGGTGATCAGAGAGGAGCGGCTGCGGACCCCCAGGGCAGGAGCCCACAGGCTCCCTGGAAGCCAAGTATCAGCAATTTACGGAACCAGGGAGCTGAGGTGCCCACCTGACCCAGCTCAGCCACTCACCAGCAGCTCCCACAGGTGGCCCCAGAGCCCTCACAGCCCCAGCATGCACGTGGCCCCAGGACACACACACACACACAC